TTCAGCGAAATATAGTGTTTTAACATCAGGAACTTCTCCATTGAAATGCTGGAAGAGCAATTTATTTACAGTACCTCTTTATCTTGATCATCTGTTTATTGAAAAACAAGAAATGCAAGTGGAGTTTTAAGAATCGTTTTCTAGTTCTGAATGAAGTGATAAGTTAGAAGTATGATGCATAATAAAATTAGTTACTTAAAGTAATATACGATTTATTCAATTTCCAAAACAGTTAAAAATCTGATGTCTAACAACATTCTTCACACACATACCTACCTAAAATGTATATTCGTACTTCATGTTCATTAATATTAAAGTAATAAAAGTAAAAAATTAAATAGTATCAAGATCGTTTATTCCAATTTCCCCAGTATTGCTCTCAACAATGTTTATTTTCCCTATTTGCCATGAGATTCTGGTACACCTATATCTAAGCATTACCACAGAATAATAATAAGTAGGTACTACGTACAGAAGTTTTACTTCGCGAAGGTATTTTAAAAAATGTATGCTCAATGTCATTAACAATATGGTGTAATTTAGCCTGTCTCAAGAGTCAAGCACCATTTTGTTGACAAACGTCAGTGATCGGCACTGCGCCAAAGCTATAGGGCTGACTTCGGTAAAATGATGTGACGTGAGGTGCCAAACTGCGGAAAATGGCAGAGGAAATACATGATTTAGCATGAATTATCATGAATAATATTAACTACTTATTTACCTCTCAGTGTCTTAAGGCAACTTAAAAAAGTACATTCTGTGTTTTTATTATTATTTAGGCAGTTAAATACTGCACAGTATTTAGTACACCATTTTCTTTATTTTCTTCCATCATACACAAGAATACGCGTGCGTGAGTCAATGTTCGCTCGTATGTGAGGTATTGTCCAATAGTATCCTGTAGGTGGGCCATCGTGCGTGTTTTGTTTTCGATGTAAACTCGCGGAGATGAACAGGCCTGGCATTACTCGTTAATTGATTTTCAATAACTGTTTTTATACACGGTACTTTTATTACAACTAGTGTAGGCAGATTGTTTCTAAATACAATAATCATATTCTTGATCTAGTAGTATAAATAATTAACTTGGAAGACTTTGTAGCGCCTGTTTAGATCTACAAGATCACGTAGGTAAAGTACTTCTTACCCTTGTCTGATGGTTTGTCGTAAAATCTAGATTAGTGGTTAATTCTGCAACTTGCTTCTGAACTAACCTAGAGACCAGCACATCTTAAATAGTGCAAGAATTATTGAGACCTTGTGTCAGAGAGCTGATACAAAAATAAGACACATGTAAGGCATGTGCCTTAGCCAAAGCTTGAATATTTAGATCTGTTAAAATGCTTAACATAAGTATGTATGTACTTTTTTCAATTAACTACTCTGAACAAATGACACAAAAATATCTGAATGTTTTGAAACGGAATGTTGAAATTTACATCTAATATACTCGTTCGGGACATCACTAACATTTCGACCATTACGAAATGAAACGCCCGGAGCTTCGGTCACTTCAGTGGCAGCCATCCATTCGTCATGACGGCCCCAAGCGTGAAGGTCAACACTTTCTTCAAACAAAAGCAAACACCGTTCAGAGACAATGTATCCAAGTTTTATATTGTAGCCGCAAGCTTAATGGGCCTCAACAGGTTGCCCGTCATACTCAATAAAGGAAGATACATCCTCACAACCTTAACAGCCATTTATACTTTAGTATTGGTAGCTGTTATCAGTTATTTCTCATACCTCTATGGGGGCTACACTCAAATCCTGGTTCGGACGAATCTCGCTGAATACTTAATTAATATAACATTCAGCTTTATCACTTGGCAACGAATGGAGCGATATTATAACAAGCTAAACAAGTTCGACGGAGAAACTGGCTGCAGGCCCAATGTGACCGGCCAATCTATTAAGAATCTGATTTGGATGCTCGGTTTTAATATGTTTATCACGATAAGCACCTGGTTATTATTGTATATTATCCCTGGCTTACTTCATTATATTGAAATGACGCCGTGTAATTTCCTTCATTGTTTGGAGTTGTACTACTACGGCCATCTCCTGAGCCTCCTAGTGCCTCGGCTGGGTCTCATCAATTATTTCGTGGAGTCAGCGCTGTCTAACGGAAAGTCTGCTAAGTGCCCGAATATCGATGAGCTTATGTCATACAAATGTCAAAACACGAAACTAACTGACATGAAGAAAATAATGGACCTTTACCACCATTTGATACAAGCCTATGACTTATTTCTCGATGCAGTGAAATGGCAGGTGATTGAAGTGCTTTTTTGTATCTTGTTTTTCGGGACTCATCGTACTTTATTACATTTTGGTTATTATTAGTTTTATTAATATACATATTTTCATGTTTCAGTTACTGGTTATTATAATAACGTCGTTTATATCAATTCTGTCGTGTTGTTACTCGATATCAACGCTACTTATTCGTCAACAGGTAAATAATGATAAAAGTTTACTACCAGTTTTCTACATGCCATATTTATAGCTTTTTCTAAATCAATAGTCAGTTGGTGCTATAGTTATATACTTAAATTAATGAAAAATACAATTTAAAAGTTCTTTAATCCGATATATTTAACTTGGTCTTAACGTTTCATTTTCTGCAATAATAACCCATATCATCAAAGTTAAAAATATTTAATTTGTATAGGCTTTATTTATACAGGGTGTCCCAAAAAGTAGTGTCTAGCTGAAGCGCAGAGATAGAGCATCACTAGGTCTACCCGAATCACCGCGACTTTTGAGTTTTCGAGTTATGATTATTTTTACAACATTGACGTTTTCAGTTTACATTCGTGTTATGGATATATGTTAATTTGCAAGTGTTATTCATCTAATAATAATAAAAAATCAGGCTTGACTAGTTATTCGCGCCACAGTGACCAAAAAAGAAAATTAAAACAATCATAACTCGAAAACTATCAAAAATCGCGAAACATACATGGGGGTGGTTTGGATAGCCCTAGTGATGCTCTACCTCTGGGCTTCGGCTTGACACTACTTTTTGGGATACCCTGTATACATTAATGGGCCATTCTTAAATTTGTGCCAATTTTTTTTAAAAATTAAAGATTTTTTTTTTAACTTTTTGCGATGTGTATCGAAAGTATAAACCAAAAGCATACTTTTGATGTATATGGACAACCTTAAAGCCCTCGGAAAGGAAACAAAATAGCCTACGTAAACACGGCTGTGACACTGCATGACACGGATGTGACAGTTTTACATTTTTACTGTAAATAATAATATTTATGTTGTTAAATTTATATCATAATAGTTTAAATTGATTAACAATAAAATACACTAAATTCGTTTCATCAACAAAGGTGTTATTTGGTAATATGTACTTTTTTCTGAACATCCAAAAATTTAATTAAAGTTGAGATCAAAAATACCGTCAGGTAGTTAATAATCTACTAGATAATAAAAAAAATAGACTTTTTATTATTGGCACTATCTGATCATGCTTCCGATATGCTACCTACATGGTTTCGATATGATAATATGCTTAACAAATTAGTAAATCTTAAACACAGTAGGTACCTAATTGAGTATCAAATGAGATTTCTGTAGGATTCACATAACAGTTGGTTTTGACAACTTAAACATGTTTCATAGTCACCGTACCACTAAAAATATGGTTAATAGCAATTCCTTTTAAAACAACTCCGACCACCTCTGCAGGGCCTTTACCGGGAGCTGTCTCAGTAAAATTTGATATTACTGCAGAAATGAGAAAGTGCAATAATTTTTCCTTCGTGGCATCTAGAAAATCATACTAGCGAAAAATAAGTACACTTACTAAAAGGCTACTCCTAAAAATTGCACAATACACAAAATAATTTAGCAGAACAACAAAAACTATTAAAATAATAAAAATAGAATGTCACAACCACGCGTTGTAATGTCACGACCATGTACTTAAATAGTTTGCGGTAGTGACACATTTTTAATACCATGGCCGTGACAATTTGGAACGTGTCCGATATATCCAAAAAACTATCTGTGAATTAGCAGATCTTGTGCAATTATCTGAAACTATACTGCATGAGGTACATAATTATGTTTTATACAATAGCGTGACATTGATACCTACCTTTAATAACCGTACACGGGATGGACGTGTTATGGTTGTCCCTTTTTTCAAATAAATAGGAAATATTTTTTTGCGGCTCACTCACTACGTTCAGCCATTTGCAAATCTAATAAGATGACAATGTTACTGTTCTAAAAAAACTTAGCAAGGGATGTCAATATCAAAGATAGTTTTTTACCGAGTTACGCATTTTTAAAGTGGCGCACGTGGTTGTGACACAAAAACTGCTCACACAATGTTTGGTGTTCAAAATCAAAAATGGTAATTATTATTGATATAAATTTTTAACAGTCTTATATAACATGTATTAATCTTGCATAATTACTGTAATATTTATCAAAATAACATAACATCTCTTCAGAAAAAAATATTGTATGTCCAAATCCGGGAATCTCACACTACACGGTCCGTGACATTTTGGACTTGTAACTTTTTTTAAATATTCTTCTAATAGTTTTATGATAAAAATGATATTGGGCCTAGTTAATAGAGGTATTTTACTAAGTAAATTAATATACAGTGCACTGATTTTCTTTAAAAACATATGCTATTCTTACATCTCACACAAAAATGCGTAAGAATAAGAATGGCCCTAATACCTAGGCTAAAAGATCAATGAAAAAATTAACTTGGAGCATGAACTATGCTCATGGAGTCCTTACATGTTTCATAATATTTTCAGCGCAGGACCGGTCGTTATGTCAATCCTTGAGCGAGGCCTTTGTCGAACGGTGGGCGTCATTTGGCTGAAACGAACGAACGAACGAACCATCATAATTAGGTCCTCTTTTTGTATTTCAAGTGATAGGAAGAGGAGGTCTAGACAACAAATTATTGTTGCAGATAGAAGCAATGATCCTCATAAGATTTACGTCCTTCTTGGCGATGGAGATGGTTCCTCTGTTCTCGCCCTGCATGTTTGGAGACCGAGTCCACGGGGAGATCAGGCGCTTGAGGGAGCTTCTGGCTTCTAGGCTCTATGAGAATAAGCTCGGTAAGGTCTGAAATACTTTGCTTAGCGACAACCATTTTTTTATCCACAACGAGGAAACTCTTGGTCTGCATTTCACCTGGTGATAAGGCTGCTCAGGCCAAAGGAATAACAAAATATACTATCAAACATCTATTTGTATTGGCTAAAAATTTTTAATTCGAGTAATTATTTCTGAATGTTAAATAACATAATAATATTTGTATCTTTATGGCACCGTGCTATAAACGGGTTCGGGTGGCAGGCCTTTGTTCAAACGCTCATAGCAAATGTTGTGATAGCGATAGAGACATGAGATTTTTGGTTTTGAAAGGTAATATGTTAGAGATTAACACAAAGTAAGTAATAAAAACCACCTGTTATACATTGAAGTAATATTACTACGTAGTACATTATAACTCAATGCTGTTATAGGGGTATTATTTGGAGAAATTTATCAAATAACCAAAAAAGCACGAATTAAAATGCAGATTTTTCTCAAAATGTAACATTTGTTTATTATTTGTTGCCATTTTCTGGGTATTTTATGTATTTTTTTAGTATCGCCTGTTATTTAGCATTATTACTGTTTTTATTTTTTCAGGATATACCTCTTAGTTTATAGGTTATTACGTTTTCTTTACAATAAGTATTTGAAAGAAAAACAAATTCTATAAAATATATTTCAAAAATGACAGATATTTTTTGACCTTTTTCCCGTGGACAAAATAGGTCTTGTTTCACCTATTTTATGTGCACTTTATCAAGACTCACACTGTATAATCATTTTATTGATAAGTTTTTGTGATAAGATACTTAAAATATGTTTTGTTTTACAATCCCCTTCAGTTAAAATTGGTAAGGAAATGTGTAAGACAATGAGTGTTTATTTTTCAGATAAATCGGGCCGCAGCGCTGCTCGCGCGCTCCTCGCGCTGACCGAGGCGCAGGACCTGTCATTCTCCCTGCTGCGGATGTTTCAAGTCGACATATCTCTGCCCTTCAAGTTCATCGGCTTGCTCGTCACATATCTGGGGGCACGGCAGTGCCCCCACCAAGTCGAGCAAAAAAGCAGCACGGCCGTACCATCCTTTTCTCGAAGCAATTCAGGCCATTTTCGACCGCCTGTAACTTCGTTGTGGATAAAACTAGAAGGCTGAATTTTCATTAGCTATGCAGGCATTGTAAAGACACGGTATATTTAAAATTTCATTCAATTTGAACCAGTAGTTTAAGAATTATAACGGGTCAAAGTTACTTAATTTTGTCACTCACTGACTGACTCACATCCCATCAAAAACAATACTTGTCAAAAAAACCAAGTCTCGCAACTCAGTTGTTCTACGGTAAAAAGTTGTGAGATCCATGTAATACCAAGTCCAGGCCAGGAAATCTTTAACGTTTTACATAAATATATTGACTTGGTCATCGCATGAAAACACGTGTAAATAAAATTATTTAGTGCGATGGCCAAGTCAATAATTTATGTAAAACGTTAAAGATTTCCTGGCCTGGACTTGGTATTACATGGATCTCACAACTTTTTACCGTAGAACAACTGAGTTGCGAGACTTGGTTTTTTTGACAAGTATTGTTTTTGATGGGATCTTATTATTCTACTGCAGTTTCAAAAAGTTATTAGCCCCCCTGCATCGTCAATTTCGTCTTAGCTAAAAATATGGAAAATAAGATGAAGTGCTCTTAAAGTTTTCTTTAAAAAATTTAATATCACTTTTGATTGGTTTGGTAAAATGCCGACACTTAATATTTTTTGCTTTAAGATATTGATGTTTTTTTAATTAATAGGGTAAGTGAGTAGATAGCCTATGGAGAGCTTGTAGATAACCGATGGAGCTCCCGCGTGCTGCACTGGTGTCTGGTTCCCCGCGACGCGGCGCGCCACTGGCAGGACGACATCGCGGAGCTGGCCGGCCACAGTAGCGGCGGCGCGGTTCGCCCCGGGTGCCAAGCATCAGGGGGTGACAACAGTCGCGCAAATTAGTACTCACTGGCGCATCTACATGACTAAGACGATCATGAAATGCATGATACATAAAAGATGGAGGAGGCCTACACTCGTAAATGGGTGCCTTTTTTTTTCGTCGGGAAATGCTTTGCCGACAAGACAACCAGTGGGTATGCCCCACTGGTCTATGGGGACTGCCAGTGGGTTATGTGGGACTCTCCCCGCCTACCCACTAAAGGCGGGGCCTACCCACTAAAACCCGACGGTTTCCACCAGAGCCCAAAGAAACGGAGCCGCGAGTTATTGTCCAGGTTGGACATTCATCCGCAGCTTCGCCTCAGGCTAGAGGCTCGCTCACGAGCGAGCCTCTCTGGCTTTGAGGGAACCCCCAATCCCCTCCTCCAGTTGTTTTTTATAGAGGTTTTCTCCTCGCGGCCCTGGTACAACAGGACCCCCGGCCCGCCGTAGCGGGTTACGGTCTGCTCTATGCCGCTGCTCGGTCAGCTCTGCTGATCAGAGAAGTACCGAGAGCGGCCCTTCAAAGAATGGGACCGGGCAAATGCCCCGCCAGCCCCCACCTGTGGGGGTTTGTAAAGATGTCTCCTGCATCGTGGCCCGAGCAAATGCCTCGACGGCCCCTGGCCCACTCAATTGTGGGTTACGGGTTGCCCGACAGGCCCGCCGAGTTGACGAGACCTGCCGCGCGGTGAGAAGTTAGCCGCCCGCGTGAACAGACCACGCGGACGTTGCCCAGGGTGCACCACGAGGAGGTCCCTCACCATCGCACCCCCGTAAATAGGTGCCTAAGATAAGTGCATGTTAAAATGATTAAATAATAAAGGTCCTAATTTAAATGTAATAACGAAGCATAAATAACATTATAAGTCTATCCAATATAGCTTGATTAGAATGACGGCTGTCAAACGAATGTGACTAGTGATGGGTATGTTTCGTACGGTTCACATAGATGTATCGATAAGTTTTCGAAAAAATGATATGAAAAAATGCACCCAATTTTTCTTCATATTAGTACTTCATATGTACTTTATTCATAAAAATGACAATTATGATTTAAATTTAAAGACAGTAAAATTTAAAATTCATGTCAAGGGTGTACAACCTAAGTCGTAGTCATTATCATCAGTGTTCTTCAGTGGTTTTTTCCTCTCGCTAGAGGGCGGTGGGCATCTCTTCTAAAGCAACGGTGCCGGTGCTATGAATACCCAAAAAATTACCGGTGATTGATTTCCGATGTTTGATTATTTAAGAATGAAATGTTTTTTGGTTTTTAATAGTGAACATTTAGAAAAACGTATAACTTGACTTAAATATGTTAAAAAATTTGTTAAATATGTTAAAAAAATAGTTTTAATTTAAAATGACTTAAAAACTAAAATTTTAAAATTACTAATGATAAACACTATTTACAAAATAAAAAATACTTCACCCCCAGCGCCGCAGTCAGGAATGGTGCCCAAAAGGCTGGCAGCATTGCCACGTTGAATGGCCAGGCTAATTCTCTGGCCGAAATAGCTGCCAGCCTTTTGATCACCGGTCACCTCGGTGAGCCTCTTTGCCAGTTCCTTATAAAAGGAACGAGCGCTTGGACCCCATGGTTATAATTTAATATGACATTTGTCGATATGTCCCAACACTAACATTTTTGTAACTCGAGATAACCTTGTAGAGACGTCGTTAATACTCTAGCTTGATTTTTATAATTTCGAATTACTACTTATTGGTGTAATTTAACGCTGCATTTACACGAAATTATCATTTTTATTGGAAGCACTGTCGTCGAAAATATTGTTTGTAGGTCAGACGTGAATTATTTCTTGTCCGCCAATATTTAGCTCTCATTGATCGCTACTACAAAGTTATGTCGTTACTTTTGATGACAGCTGTCATTCTAATCAAGCTATATTGGATAGACTTAAGTAATCTAATGTACCTAAATTGAATAATTTGAATCTTAGGAATAAATGGCTTATTTATTTTTAAGTAGATAGAAAGAAAATAAAACAATCATATTATAGATATTTGACGTCCAAAAAGATTGGAAATAAAATTAATTGAGCAAGGTTGCACATGGATGAGTATTCGATATTTACTTGCACCATTACGGCATTTACAAGTGTTTTATGAGTAGGTACTAGGCACCTACCTAATCTAACACATTTTGTATTTCTTGCAGATTCTAAAGCTTTAAATATAAAAGATCACATAAAATTTACATAATATTGTTTTATTCCTTAAAATATCACGCCCATCGCACCCTTGAGTCATTGACGAAATTATTGAATAAACAAAAACCCAACTGCGTAAAAAGGAACTAAAAAGATAAAAAACAAGCCAGTCGAAGGCATCATTGACTAATTATTTTGTTGTTGATAATATGTATTTGATGCCTCCGACTGCATTTGTGAACACTAAGGCTTGTTTTTGTCTATTTAGTTTATTTTTACGCAGTTGGGTTTTGTGTTTATTCAATAATAATTTTATTTTAATCTTTTTAGTTAAATAACAAACATTGTCGTAAGCTACTAAAAAGCCCTTCATTTTAATACCCCACTCGATAGGTTTTGAGAAAAAAAAAATATTTTTGCAGACATTATGTCGCCTAAAATCTGTCATTTTGTTTTTTTTTTTTCAATTTTAATATAGCCAGTGTCACTCTCACGATTAAGACGAATCTAACGACACCTCTCATGCTAAAATCGGTCAAGGCGTTAAGCTGTAGGCCGTACCAAAGAAATATACATACATACACTCGAAAAATATAACCCTCCTTCTGGCTCAGTCGGGTAATAAGTATTAATGAATTAAAAATATCTATCAAGAATACCTAAAGCCATTTTTAGAGATAGGAAAGTTTTTAAAGATAGGTATACAATTTCTTCATCATCATGACTGTTCACTGTAGTTGATGACTGTTCTTGATAACGGTTACATAAAGTAGATTTTATACGTAAAAGTAAAAAAACTATGTAAAACCCAACTACGACAAAAAACGACGCTGAAAAAGTATAAAACAAGATTTTCAGAATACTAAACTGAA